TGTGTGTATTTACACAATAAATATATATATGTCTGTCTGTGTGTGTATTTACACAATATATATGTATGTCTCTGTGTGTATTTACACAATATATATATATGTATGTCTCTGTGTGTGTGTGTGTGTGTGTGTGTATTTACACAATATATATAATACCGAATAATAAATTAACCGTAATACCATAATATTGTTCAAACACCTAAATCAACTTAGGTTACTAACTTACGAAGGACTTAAAAACACCGTACACATTGACCAAAAGTGACAAGTCTGCATGATTCTTAAGAGTCAAGATTAAGCTAATTTTATCACACTTAAACTAGTTATCCATTTCAGGCGTAAACAGCTAATATTAATTAACATAGATTACTTCAAAGTCATACTTAAAAGGTTTTTTTTACAATTCGTAATAATAAGGAAACTTAAAAAGCTGACTGACGAAAAGTTTGTTTAGTGGTAATACGGAACAATAACAGACGTATAAACAGTTGTTACGGTTGTTGTATGAACCATCACATAAAAGTTGAAACATACACAATTATTACTATCAAAGAGAACATGGATTCTTAACATTATGTATAATATTAGCAGAGCAGTATATATATCTTTAAAAACGTTGCTAACATTTTTACATTTAGTGAATTTAACAAAGAAAAGTGTGTATAATTTAATGAACTCTTAATCCACAAGAAGGTTCGCTATAAGCTACACATATTATACACTATGATGTATAATTATATATAATTAAACATGATGTACTGTGCAAGGGGAACCACACTAAAAATACGGAAACACTGTACAAATTTAGAGGGAAGGCAGCTAGATTCATTACTACCCACCGCGAACTCTTGGGCTACTCTTTTACCAACGAATAGTCACATTATAACAAGCATGTTTCGAATCCGAGACTTCAGACTGCGAGTCAAGCGCCCTAGCCACCTGGCCATGCCGGACCTTCATATTAAGAAAAAACAAAGATGGCCATTGGGTTGTTCAGGATATAAACAAACTTGTTAAAACCAAAACGACTATTGGTTTTATGATACCATTTAGAACATTCCGATAGGGCTTTATGATAAACAGCTAGATGTGTACAAAACACGCATTACAGGTGTCTATGCAAATATTGGTAATCATTAGCTATAGTTCCCTAATACAACACCAAAGATCACTATGAATCTTTTCACTGGTTTCATTTAATTACAAGCAAGGATTAATGATTCAAATTTCAGTTTTCTGTTCGGAAGAATAAAACAATGGTCGTTTCATACATACATGAAATAACACATGCCTGCGAATTTAAACTTCATAAAAGTTGTTTTGGTTTTAATATTGTTTGCTTGTTTGTTTTGAATTTCACTCAAAGCTACACGAGGGCTATCTGCGCTAGCCGTTCTTAATTTAGCAGTGTAAGACTAGAGGGAAGGCAGCTAGTCATCACCACCCACTGCAAACTCTTGGGTTACTCTTTTACCAACGAATAGTGGGATTGATCGAAACATTATAACGCCCCCACGGCTGAGAGGGCGAGCATGTTTGATGGGACGGAGATTCGAACCCACGACCCGCAGATTGCGAGTCGAGTTCCCTAACCATCTGGTCATGCCGGGCACTGGTTTTAATAACAGATTTTCCATAATTCAGTACGCATCACGTAAGAATTTTTTTTTACAAATCGGGAAGAAGAAAAAAACTCTTACTTAGATCAAATTATTATTTCTTTTACCACAATGAACATTTTTTTATTATTATGTTTGTTAACAAAAATACAAACAAACTGAAGAAAAGGGCAGAACATTGATGTCAAACGAATATGCATCCTCATTCATACTGTTTTTTTTATGAAATCTACGTCTTTTAATCTCAAACTACGAGTTACGGCCTTTCTTTTATTTATTGCGTTATGACGTTCTGTGAAAAATCTGTACGTATTGGAGAAAAATGGATATCATTTTCGGACTCAGCGTACAAGAATTACTGTAGAACAAGTAAACATTTCAAGACAATAAAACAATTTCAGACTGAGTAATTACACCACGTCATCCAATAAGAAACATTGACTGTTATACCTTAAAAAAAAGGCAGTAAACTTTACAGAATAAACATACAAATAATATTGTTTGTTTTTATTTTGAAATACTGTTCTCGTAGATAATTTTCTAATGAGTTTAAAACCCCAAACTGTTTTCTGAGATACTTTTAATGAGTTTAAAACCCAAACTGTTTTATTAGATACTTTTTTAATGAGTTTAAAATAATTCCTGTATTTATGAAGTACTGTTGCAATAAAGATACTAGTTTGACCAAAAATGTCTTGCGGGTCTCTGTTAGTAAATATATTCAGCACAAAGTTGTATATATTTATATTGAATGTATACATGTACGTGTTTGTTTATTGGTACAGATTTTTTTTCCTCTCAATGAAATAGAAACTACTAGAAAGAAGACGAGATGTAAGAATCCATTCAATATTTTCCTTCTTCTATGAATATTTTTCTCTTGTGTGATTGAATAGAAACGGTGAAACGTT